TGTGAACACTAAGAAGCTGTGATATCTAAGAATCTGGCAGCACTGCCACAAATCATCATGTAACATGTATTCAATCTTTGTGCAAAAAAAAAAAATGTCAAAACAAATAAAGATTCCATGTATTAAAAATCTATTTTAGTCATTCAATATGTGCATCAGAAACAAAGATTCATCATTTGTCAAAGAATCAAGAACGAACACAATTTTCTAAACTGATTTAAATATAGCCATCTGTCAATATTTAAACTGTATACACAATGCTATTTTACTTTAAAAATCACACATTTAAAAGATTTCATTACCAAACTACCAAAAATAATAACATCTAACAATAGTCAAAATGTAACACTTCACAGATAATCAATCAAACACACAAATTATGTCATTCAAAAACTAAAATTCAAAGAATCAAATAGTTTAGCCATTTATACACGGTCCTACATTATAGACATTTAAATCAACATTACTTTCATTTAAATCTAGACTTGGTCAAACTGATCAAATTCTAAACAAAATAATAGAATTCATCAGAGTATAAGTATATAGTCCTATATTAAAATCTGAAAAATATGTATTTCTCATTTAGTAAGTGATCAAATATACTATCTCTTTATAGATAGTTCTACATTGAGTAATAATTACCATCACAGTTAGCAGGCCATCATCTAACATGTATTAAACTGTAGTGTACAATAATGGCATCAGATTTAAAGATTCATCATTTGCCAAAAGACTTTAAAACAGTGTTTGTACATGTGTAAAATGAAGAAGTGCAAAAATATAAGGGGGAACATGTGTATTCAATTACAGGAATAGTATACTGCATTGTGGTTTTTCCAAAAAAAAAAAATTGAACAATCATAATCATTTTTAGTATATGTCAAAACATTAATGATGGTCACCTAATAAAGCATTCAAGATATAGCAAATATGCATACTCCAACTACAAACAGATATCATAATTGCAACATTCAAAACAACATACCACATGAGGAAAATTGTTTTCTTCTACACTAACAACATTCAAAACAACATATTAATTGTTTTAATTATTTGTGTATTTAAGGTACATTATTTTTGTAAGAAATGTACATTAGTTGCATTTACCATTTTTATTTGATTTTTAATTATGTTACACGGTACTGTGTAGACCATGGTTAATGTATTCACGATTTAAAGTAATGCATTATTTCTTATAATACATAGCTTCTAATAGTGTTTAAATATGTTACCATTTTTACATTGCATTATTTCTTGCACTGTACTATGTGGCATTTTTTAGTACTGTGTTTGTCATGATCCACGCAAGATTGTGGACCGTGAATGTCAGAAACAGTTTTAATTAATACAAAATGTACATTATTCACAAAACGTTATTAACTATGTTAGCGTTTCGATATTGCATATATTATATTTAGGTTACACGGTACTGTGTGTACCATTGTAATTTTAATACAGATTTTAATTCATGTATGGTTTTTGACAATATTTTTTTTTTGTCATTGCATAAAATGTAGAGAACAACGATACCATTCAAGAAGAGAATACTAATGATCCACAAGTGGAATACACACCACAACCATATTGTAATTCAAATGATAGACCAAAAAGTGCTCTTACAACAGGTAAACTATTTAAAGTTTGTAAAATTTTATTTAACAGGTTATATACATATTACAAACATGTTATGTCTTTTCAGTTAATAAAGAATCTTTGGATATACAATTAGTACGCGAAGCATGGAATATACAACAGCAACAGTAAATCAAGGCATTTTGTGTTAGGAGGACGAAAGCCATTACCTTCAAGTGCAACAAGCGATATACTTAACGGTTAGTTTTTTAGTTAATGGCCAATTACTTAATTGTTTTTATTCCAGTTACATATTATAAACAATCTATCATTAAAAATGTTAAATATGTTATATAAAAGGTACCTTCACAATGTCTGAGAACAAACGACCACCTCTACAGGATATATCCAATGGTAAGTATTTTTTATATCATTTTTGTTGCTTAATAATTTTTTTTTTTTATGCCAGCTAAAAAAAGTAAACTATAAATTAATTAGGTAACACAAACTGCAACAAAAGGAAATGCATGGATGAGGGTAAAACTGTTATCCAGTGTAATGTTGTCAACCGAGATTTGTTTCAAGATTTTGAAGAGTTTCCAATATGGATATAATTTCTAAAACCGTTCAAGACAATTATGGTACGTTTAATATTAAATAGTAGTAGTTTGCAAATGTTTCATGGTTTACTTCTTTGTTTCAGTCATATTTAGTTCTTACACCCAAAAGGATTATTATTTTTGGGAAACTAATATGATATATTCTACGTAGGATTGTCACCAATTACACAACAACATATCCAAGAAAGTGCAAATGGTAAGTAATTATTTGTATACAAATTATAAATGTCATTACAATTTTTTGGATATGTTTCAAAATATTTATAGATAAGATGATTTATGTACATGGTAGGTACAAAACAATGCAACGAGACATCGTGCACAAACCAAGTTACAGTACTAATGCAGTCGACAATTGGAATTTCAAATTTTAACCAATCAGGTGACGAACAAGCAAATAAGTCTCAAATTACAGAACTGACTGCTTTCAATACTGGTATGTATAATATTATTCGGTCTTCTAATTCATATGTTACAGTTTAATTAATCGGTTTTGAATTCTCAACTTAGTGGAATACCAAGATCTTGGTGATGCAACTATAACATGTCAACACTGTGGAGCGCTTTTTTTGGTACGAAGAAAGGACACACAAAACAGATAATCGCGGCCACCCAAAATATAACCTGTGTTGCAACAATGGTAAGATCCAATTGCCACAAACGATGGTGCCACCACAAGCTATATATGATCTTTTTTTTTGGAGAAGGAGAAAAAAACAAGCAATTTCTACACAACATTAGAGCATACAATAGTATGTTCTGCTTCACTTCGATGGGTGGTAAAATAGACCGAAACGTGAACAGCAACGGTGGTCCCCAATCTTCCGTATAAATGGCCAGAACTTCCACTACATTGGTACTCTATTTTCGGTAGACGGTAAGAAACCACATTTCGCACAGCTGTATATCTATGATACGAACAATGAAATTGACAACCGTGTCAATTCTGCAACCCCAAGTGGCCTGAGGTACAACGCTTCTTGAATACAAGAAAATTAAGGCCAGAAGATCGCCCAGACATAATTTGTAGAATATTCAAATTGAAGTTGGATGCCCTACTATCAGAATGTCGAAAGAACAAGTTATTTGGCCCAGTCATTGGAGGTACGTGAAAAATAAGCTACTATTTTAATGATGAAGTTTCTAACCCATAGCAATGTCCCAAGATTTAGCTCTATTCTAAACTTTCTTATCTTTTTCATTGTTAACAGTGATCTATACCATAGAGTTTCAAAAAAGAGGTCTACCGCATGCTCATATACTTTTGTTCCTGAATAAAAACAATCGAGCGCAAAGTGGTATAAATCTGGACAACATTATTTTAGCTGAGTTACCTGACCAAGAAACAGATCCAGAATACTTCAAAGTTGTTGAGGAATTTATGATGCATGGTCCTTGCGGGAAAGCACAGTTGACTTCTCCATGTATGGCGAATGGTAAATGTACTAAACACTTTCCAAAGAAGTTTGTTAATTTGTCAATTGTGGACGAGCATGGTTATCCTATATATCACAGACGAGACAATGGCCGGTCTGTCATGCGTAATGGTATTCAGTTGGATAATAGGTACGTAGTACCACACAATAGACATTTATTGCAAAAGTAAAGAGCTCATATTAACGTGGGATGGTGTAATCAGTCCCGTTCAATCAAGTATTTGTTCAAGTACGTCAACAAGGGCCATGACAGGGTAACAGCAGAGTTTTTCAAAGCCAACTGCGATGCAGAATGTCCAAAAGTTATTGATGAAATCAGTATGTTCTATGATTTTTGGTACATCTCTCCATGTGAAGCATCTTGGCGATTATTTGGATTTGATATACAGTTAAGGACACCAGCTGTTGAGCGATTAAGCTTTCACTTGCCAAATCAACAAAGTGGCGTATTTGCAGATGATGATCCAGTTGATAACATACTAAGCCGTCCAACAATCATGTTCTTAGAATGGTTTGAGGCAAATAAACCTACCCAGCTGCAAGACAACTGACATATGCCGAAATGCCAACTAAATTTGTATGGAAGAAAGATGTTAGGAAATGGCAACCAAGGAAAAGAGGATTTGCAATAGGTAGAGTTTTCTATGTGCCACCTGGTACAGGGGAGATATTTTATTTGAAATGTCTTTTGAATAAAGTAAAAGGGCCCACATGTTTTTTGGACATAAAAAAAAAGTAGACGGTGTGCAATATGAATCTTTCAGGGATGCGTGTTCTGCAAGAGGATTAGTCGACGGCGACAGGGAATATGTTCATGCTATAGAAGAAGAAAGTCAATGGGCGACAGGTGTAAATTTGAGAATATTGTTTGTCACCCTATTAATGTCAAACTCATGGGAAAACCAGAAGTTGTGTGGGAAGCTGCCTGGCACTATTTGGCTGAGGATGCACAATTCAAGATTAGTGCTCAATTGGGGATTACAGGTAATATTTTGTTTCTGTACTTTCATGTTGTACAAATTATTTGTATACACATAGTTATAATATGCGATTGATAATACTATCACAGATTTGATTTTATCTGAAGATGAGAAAAAGAATTTTGCACTTCATGAGATACAAATAATGTTTTCTGCTATGGGAAAGAGTTTGAAGACTTTCTGTTGATGCCAGTACCGGATTTAGAGAATCATGCTAGAACCACCAATCGGTTGATACAAGAGGAATTAGCATATGATATTAATGTCATGATGGAATAGAATGATAAATTGGTGCATCAACTCACCGAAGAACAAAGGCTATATATGGAGAAGTATTGCAAGATGCTGAGAATAATCTGGGAGGCCTGTTTTTTGTTTATGGATACGGTGGAATGGGAAAAACATTCTTATGGAGAGCATTGTCTTCTGCTTTAAGGTCAAAGGGTGATATAGTTTTAAACGTGGCATCAAGTGGCATAGCATCTCTTCTACTACCAGGAGGTAGAACTGCGCATTCAAGATTTTCAATACCAATAGCTGTTAATGAAGATTCAACCTGCAACATCAGTCAAAGTAGTCCTTTGGCACAGTTGATAATGCAAAGTAAGTTGATCATTTGGGATGAGGCACCGATGATGCATAAGTTTTGCTTTGAAGCTTTAGACTGTACTATGAGAGATATCATGCGTGCTAAAAATCCAAAAAGCTTGGATATGACTTTTGGTGGGAAAACCGTGGTGTTAGGTGGAGATTTCAGACAGATTCTACCAGTCATTCCAAAGGGAACCAGGCAAGATATTGTTGGAGCAAGTATAAATGCATCATATCTTTGGAGAAGCTGTAAAGTATTTAGGCTAACAAAGAATCTCAGGCTTAGGTCATTGCAATCAGATACTGAAGTTAAAGAGATTGAAAAATTTGCAAAGTGGATTGCTAATATAGGTGATGGAACAATTGGTGATTGTTTGCATGGAGAATGTGAGATAAATATTCCTGAAGAATTAGTGCTAATTGTGTTGAGGATCCAATTTCTACAATTGTTGATAACATATTCCCTATGTTCTGCAGTGGTTAGAGTGATATTCAATACCTAAAAGATCGTGCTATTTTGACACCAACTTTGGATATTGTGGATGCAGTAAATGAATACATGAATGACTATAATAATGCCGAAGGAAGGACGTATCTCAGTTGTGATTCGGTTTGTAAATCTAATTCAAATGTTGACATGCTTCCTGATCTGCACACTGCAGAATTTTTAAATGGTTTAACAAAGGTGTTAGGAGTTCCAAATCACTCATTGCTCTAAAGTTGGCTCACAGCAGTTATTTCTTCTGAGGAATATTGATCATTCTTGGGGTTGTGGCCAAACGTACAGAAGTGATCATATGTCAAAGTTGGCATGATCATGTTTTAGAAGCTCCAAATACTATGGCGCGGCAA